ATGATTTCTAAGGATCCTGTCAGCTCTAAACTTTGGTGATTACAGAATCCTATAGTTCTAGTCTCCAGGCCCCCTGCAAGGATGCCCACGGTTGGTCTGTCACACCGATTCACCCCAAGGCTGTGGAGCACAGCTGTTAAGATTAGAGCCGCTGGTATGAGACAGACTGGTTCTAGTTCTTCCTTGGATACCAGCTGACTGTGTGGCCTTTGGAGGTCATGGAAGGTCTCTGGGCCTCAGTTTCCCATTCTATAAAATAGAAATATTAAAAGCATGGGCCTCGCCTCACTGTTGTAAAGACTGCATGAAGTAATTCACGGAAACCGTCATGTAATGAGGATGCCAGAGATGCTGAGTGAGATCATGCCGCCGTAGTTGTTACAATAACCCCCCTCTCTCTCTCTCTCAGCCTGCTCACCAGCACCACAGGAGGGGCCTGGCCTGCCAGATGAAAGACATCTACCCCCGGAGCCCAAGGCCTGAGCTTCTCTATCCACAGGGCTCCCATCCCCGCCTCCTGGACTTTTAAGGCCAGCAGAGGCCACAGCTTCGGCCACCCTTGCAGGATCTACCACAAATTCCTGACTTTCCTCTCCCTGGCTCCCATGCCCCCCTACTGCAGGATCCCCAATAATCCTGCCCATCAGTCCTGGGAAAAGGAAGGGTCTCATTTCTAAAGTGACTGGTGGGCAGGAAGGGATGGGGATTGGTCTTTGTTTCCAATGCTGGGTGGAAAAATTTAGAATGTGCAGGTAAGCAAGAAGATAAATTACCTCCCAAACCTACCACTGAGAGATAATAAAAGTCTGTCAGTCGGATGCCATCTTCAGACAGAGCAGGAGTGGCCTCAGAGTGAGCGAGGCCAGAGAGACAGAGACCAGGATCCTGTTGCCCTCCAGCCTGTCTCCTGGCTTCCCCTTTCCACTCTGGCCTCGCAGTGTCTAGAAACTTCCCAGTTAGGCAATCTCAGCTGCCATTTCTCTCTTCCTTGTCCCTCATGAGGAACTGTACTCTCTAATCTCTAGGTTTGTTTTAATGAGTCATTTTAGGGGCCCATCCCTGGGCCTAGAAATAGAAAGGGTAGCAGGTATTTCTGCTACATCTGGTAAATAAAAGGCAGACTTCACCAGAGTCTCTGTCTGCTGGCCTAGATGCATTCCTTATGGAATAGAAGTCACCGTCCAGGGCAGATGGGGATTCTTCGGTGCTATTCTCCTCTGAGAAGACCCACCCACCCAAAGGTGGAGGAGGAAGGAAGGAGGGAGAAGGAAAATGGTGAAGGTGGGAGGAGGGGGCATTGGAGGAGGCAAGCTTAGCCAGAGGGCCGTACCACTCCAAAGATGTGTGAGATGTACTGCATGCTGAACTGCTGGCTCTGAGGCGGCCAGTACTCCAAGAAAGTGTCCACGTCCGCCCGCAGCTCCTTCTGCTCCTCCTCCCCGAAGTGTTCCACGTGGTTCTGCAGGTCGTCCACAGACACCAGGCAGCCCTCCGTGAGCCCAGTGCCCTCTCTCTCCACCCGCCACATGATCCGCGCCGCCAGCCTGTGGAGGGGGCATTGTGGGGGAAGTGGCTGCGTCATGCACTCATTCAGCAAGCACTGAGTGCAGAGTGCATGCCAGTCGTGGAGTAGGACACAAGGTACAGTTTTGACCTAGACACACAGAATCTCTTCTCTCATGAAGCCTCTGATAGTGGGGGAGACACAAATAAACAAGATAATTTTAACTGTTGTTAAATGCTACACAGAAAATAAAGTAGGGGAACAGGATACAAAAACTAGTTGCCATCAAGTCAATTCCAACTCACGGCAACCCCATGTGTGTCGGAGTAGAACTGTGCTCTACAGGGTTTTCAGTGGCTGCTTTTTCGAAAGTAGATCACCAGGTCTTCTTCTGAGGTGCCTCTGGGTGGACTCAGACCTCCAACCTTTAGACTAGCAGTCGAGCACACTGAACATTTGCACCACCCAGGGAACACGCTTGGCTACCAGCTGAAAGACTGGTGGTTCGAGTCCACCTAGAGTCACCTCAGAAGAAAGACCTGGTGATCTACTTCTGAAAAATCAGCCACTGAAAACCCTATAAAGCACCGTTCTACTCCGACACACACGGGGTTACCAAGAGCTGGAATCGACTCAACGGCAACTGGTAACGCGACAGAGGATGGCTTGGGGAGGGGAAGCTAAGGTGATCAGGGAAAGCTTCTTGGAGGGGGTACATCTGAGCTGATGCTGGAAAGAACAGGAGCCAGCTCTGTGCAGATGGGAAAAGGTCTTTCAGGAGGACAGAACAGTGAGTACAAAGGCTCAGAAGGAACAAGCTCGTCACGATGGAGAAACAGCAGTAAGGCCAAGGCAGCTGGAGTATAGGGAGCAATGAGTGGGGAGCAAATAAAGGTGGAGGGTTGGCAGGGGCCAGATCAAGCGGGGTCTTGGAAACCATGGATGGAGTCTGGGGACACGGTGAGGTGCGGAAGCCTGCATCTCTCTTAATAGTATGGTTAACTGGGAAGAGCAGTGGATAAGGAGTCTAATGGCCTGGGTTTAAGTCTGCTTCCACTACTTACTGTGTGACCTTGGGCAATTTACTTGACCTCCCTGAATCCATATGGTGGCCAGTAAAGCAGAGATGATACTCCCTGCCATGCTAATCTCCAGATTCATTTTGATGATAAAGTGAGGTAATGGATGTCCATACTATGTGTGAAATTATTTGTATTCTTAATGATTGGGTAGAGAGAAAGTGGAGAAGGTAATCCAGGTGGTGAAACAGTATAAGCAAAGACTGGGAGGCAGCCACAGAACTGGCATATGCAGAAAGCAGGGAGTCACCTGACCTGGCTGGAGTGGAAGAGAAAGAGGCAAGGCTGCAGGTAGGGGGTGCGTGTGAGGCAGAGGGTGTACTTCACCCTGAGGGCAGAGAGGGCACACTTGCTGTTGGTAACTGTTGGGCAGCACTGTTCCCACAAGAGGAAACTGGTGAGCTATCACCCACTGACTACAGGCTGGCCAGGAGCCTGGGAGACGCTGGTGGCCCAGGGCAGATCTTGTCTATGAGGACAGACCCCCTTGGCAAAACTCAGGCTCCTTTCTCCTCTAGTTTGGGTCACAGAGTTCTTTCTGAGAGAGGGTCTCCTGGGGGCCCCAAATGCCTGGGAACCAAGGTGCCCCCACATGCAGCCCAGAACATCATTAGGGAAAATAAGACTCAGGGTCGGGTATGCGGCAGATCTGCTGTCTCGAAATACTTGGGAAATGACTGCAAAGCACAGAGAGTAGAGGCTAATGGATGGCACATTTCAACTCAGCATCAGAAGAAACTATCAACTGTAACAGTCCAGAGTGGGCTTCCTGTCACAGGAAGTGGCATTAATGTTGGGCCTTGAAGAATAAGTAGGGTTTCAACAGATGGAACTGGGGGAAAGAAGGGGGTTGACTAAGCCATTTTATTTTACGGTTTCCTAAAAATTACCAGGATATGATGATTCCATGCTGCACCTCAACTTCACCCCACACACACAGAGAAAATTCTCCCAACTTCACCACCTCCATTTCCTTTGTTCCCCCTGCCAGCATCCTAAGCACGGCCTGGCATCCTGCCAAGCCCCTACCCCAGCAGAGCCTCCAGGACTTGCGAGCTCTTGAAGCAGCATTCCCCAGGTCCGTGGCCCTAAGGTTTCTGGCAACGGCCGCCAGGAGAGGACACTGGTTGTTACAAATGCAACACCGTGTGGGTGTAATGAGTGCAGAGGGCTGTGTTCGAGACCACAGCTCTGGTGACTTGGAATGCTCTGCACTTTTTAAGTGGGGAGAAGACGGCATTGAACTCCAGCTGGTTTTGCCAAACCTTCTGATTTTTTTTTCCAAGAGGAGCCAGAAACCCTGATTGTTAAAATTGTGCAATTTCCCAATTTTTAACATTAGGAGCTAAATTAAAGAAGAAAATTAACCATTGGGAGGCCATATACAAAATGAGTCTGCAGGCAGTTCCAGCTCTGACTGGGGCTGCTCTAGACACCCGGCTCTCCCACTGAGATGGGCTCCCGGACCCAAGGGGGTGAGTATAAGTGACAATATCCAGTTTCTTTGAGGGCTCTTTCCTGACTTGCACTCAGCCCACCACCTAGTTTCTTTGGGCCTGGGGATGTTTTCACTGCCATCATCCCAGCCTGACGTCTGGGAATTGGAAGCACCAGCCCGGGGCCCAGCTCTGACCTGATGTTCTCATTGGGCACCTTCCCGTATCTCTTGATGGCCGAGCACTCGTTCTTGTGGTTCAGCCAGGCATCCTTCTGGCAGGTGCGGTCGCAGTAATGGGCAAACTTGCACTGCCCACAGCGATGCAGCTTCTCCTGCCTCTTGAAGCAGGTGTGGCACACAAAGTCAACCAGGCTGGAAATGGGGGGAGAGAACACGTGATTGGGGTGGGGCACAGTGCAAAGGGCCCCTCCCCGGCCTTTTGGAGACCTGGGTTCAAGGACTGGCTCAATGAACCAGTGTGTATCTTTCTAAACTTCAAACCCCACTTTTCAAAATGAGAGGCTTGGGCTTCCACAGGTCCCTTCCAGCTGAAGCAATTCCTTTAGCAGATTATTTTTAAGTGACCTCAATGTGGGAGACACTGTTGCCCTCTGCACATATGCCTTTCAATTCAATTCAACAAATATAAATTAATAGCCTACTGTGTGTAAGGCACTAAGAATACTACTATGTGTTGGACACAAGTTATCAGGGAAGCAATTAAACTTGCAATACAATGCAGTATGATAAGCACTATGATATGGGAAGTACGGGGTATTCCTGGAACACATGACAGAAAAGACTTCAGTAACCCAGCAATTCTTCTAGGCCAACAGAATGGTTCTAAATTCCTCCTGGTCCTTTGTCCAAGTCACAGGTCATTGGCTCTGTGTTGTGGGTTTTTGTTGTTGGCTGCCATTGAGTTGGCTCCTGACTCATGGCAACCCTGTGCACCATGCAACGAAGCACTGCCGAGTCCTGTGCCATCCCTGTGATCAGCTGCGGATCAGACCCTTGTGATTCATAGGGTTTTCATTGGCTGATTTCCAGAAGCAGATAGCCAGCACTTCTTCCTAGTCCATCTTAGTCTGCAAGTTCCACTGAAGCCTGTTCAGCATCATAGCAACACACACGTCTCCACTGACAGATGGGTAGTAGCTGAGCAGCAGGTGCACTGGCTGGGAATTAAACCCAGGTCTCCCATGTGGAAGGTCAGAATTCTACCACTGAACCACCACTGGAGGGGCGTTCTATGTCACATGTCCTTCTCGTTGTTGCAATACGATGTCCTTTTCACAAAAGAATAAAAAAGTAATACCTATCAAAAAATACGACGAGACATGAAACATGATAATCAATACACAAAATGAGGTCTACACGATATGACACGTCACAGTTCTGTGTGTTTTACAACTGCAAGAATTACAAGGTTAGTGATGTCACTGATGCCGACATATTTTCCCAGCTCAATAATGCGCTCCCATTAGATGGATGAGGAAGGGAGATGTAGGGATATGAGGTCCCTTACCCTGGGTAGACAAAGCCGTGCTTCTGGCCTGCAAGTGTTCCCGTTAGAAAGCTACACGTCTCCCCATGCCAAACCCATAATTCAAACAGAAAAGGGCATAAGCTAGAATGAAGAAAGCTTATTCCAAAATACCACTTGACATTCATAGTGAGTCAAATCTGGTGTGATGCACAGTATTTCTAGGTCCTAACTGCAGGCTCCTGCAACGTGGGGAACAGAAAAGCTGGCGACCGAGGCAAAGAAATGATGAAAACAGGTTCAGTGATGTGCAGGGCCAGCTCCCTCTGAAAGCTCTAGGGAAAGGTTGTTTCTTGTCTCTCCCAGCATGCCTTGGCTTGCAGCTGCAGTGTAACTCCATCTCTTACTCCTTCTTCACATGGCCATCTTCCCTCTACGTCTCTGTGTCTCTTCTCTTTTTATAAAGACAACAGTCATATTGCACGAGGACACACCCACCCTATTCCAGTATGACTTCATGTTAACTGAACTAATAACATCTTCAAAGACACTATTTCCAAACCAGGTCACATTGAGAGGTATTGAGGGTTAGGACTTCAGCATATCTTTTTGTGGTACCCAGTTCAATCCATAGCAGGGTAGCAGGGCAAACAGGCAAGATCTGGCAGCCAGTGCTAGCACACCAGGCTCAAGGACCAGCTGAAAGCCTGGGCCCAGTGGTCCAGGATGTAATGGAGCAAACGAGAAAAAAGACAGGTGTGTAGCCAAGGTGAGGGCACGGCACAGGCTGGTGCCCTGAGCTCAGTGCTGGGCTTCCCTGAGTCCAGCCAGGTTTTAGCCTCCACACGGTGCACCCCATCTGCTGTGAGGTGTGTAGTACTCAAGGGCATGAAAGGTGACTGCTTATTTATAAATGGTAGCAACCTCAAGTTATCCCAACAACAATGTCCTTCTCACTGACTTGTGTTCCCCTAGGCTTTCTTAGTGAGAGAGGAGGAGTAGAATTACAGCTGGCATGCTTAGGATTGCACAGAACTCACAGCCACCTTAACTGCCACAGAGGGTGTGCTGTGCTTGAGAAGGTCATCTGTCATGAGCGTTTCAGCAGAATAGAACACATGGGGCTCACATGAAACCCTGACCATTTAGTGGAATCTCCAAACCCCTGAAGATGGAGAGCTATGAATTTCTCCCACCTGTCTCAAGTCAGGATCACATTCTCTGGCAAAAAAAAATTTGAAGTTCACTAGCAGGGACTAGGTATTTTGAGTAATTCAGTGATAGAATTCTCGCCTTCCACGCGGGAAATTTCGCTTCAACTCCCGGCCAATGCACCTCATGCACAGCCACCCCATCTGGAGGTTTGTGTGTTGCGATAATGCTGAACAGGTTTCAGTGGAGCTTCCAGATTAAGATGGGCTAGGAAGCGAGGCCTGGAGATTTACTTTTGAAAGTCAGCCAATGAAAACCCTATGGATCCACAACAGATGATAAGCACGGTGCAGGACCATGGATCCACCACAGGTGATAGGGATGGTGCAAGAGCGGGCAGCAGGTGTTCCTTTGTGTATTGGGTGGCTGTGAGTTGGGGATGACTCAACAGCAGCTAACAAGAAGCAGGAACTGACATGAGGAAGAACCCAAGCAAACTGGAGCCCATAGAGACTCCAAATCTCGTCTCCTGGCCACTCAAGGGGGGGACCCTGAGTGACAACACTTTAAAATTGTGTGGCCAGAATACAGTATTATAGTCCTGGAGTAGAGGTATTCGTGCTTCCTGGACCTGGACATTGGGCTTCTTTAGCAAACTCCTCACATTAATTTTAAGTGAAATTATACTAAAACTTCCCGAGCATTCTCAAAGGTACTGCAGCCGAGTCAGAGATTCCCTCAGCTTGTTCATATGGCATTGAAATTTTTAAATAGCTTTGTTGAGGTGTAACTGACATACAACAAACTGCATATATTTAAAATGTACGATTTGGTATGTTCTGACATTTGCACATACCCACAAAACCATCACCACAATCAAGAAAGTAAACACATCCAACACCCCCAAAAGTTTCTTCTTGGCACTGGATTTTTTTTACCTGAAGTGAGGTCTTTACCTTTATCCCTGTCTTGTTGCTCTCAGTGTAGCACTGCAAACTGTTAAGATCATTTAGATTTTATTGTCATCCTTTATACTGATATGCTAAGCTTTGTGTCATCCGGAAATTGACAGCATGTCTTAGGTTGGGGAGGGGAAGGAGGAGAGGATGCCTGCCTCTAGGGTATCAGGACCCAGACCAGAAATACAAACTCAAGGCAGGAAAGAAAGGGAGGAGAGTCAGGAACTGCGGGAAGGGATGAGTCAAAGCAAGCACAACAGTTGTGGTTGTCACCGGTAACTCCATGCCTGCCTGCCTCAGGGGCACCCATCAGAGAGCCACCCCACACTGGGACTGCTCTAATATTTTACACTCAAATTTATATTTTTAGAATATTCTAGTATAATCTCTATTTTTATCCATATATTCAGATTGATATACATATTTTATGTATAAACTGAAATTTGCACCTATGTAGCCACCACCCGTCTCTCAGTGAAGGCTTGCTTTTGCTATGATGCTGAACAGGTTTCAGTAGAGCTTCTAAACTAATACAAACCGAGAAGAAAGGCCTGGTGATCTACTTCCTAAAATTAGCCAGTGAAATCCCTGTGAAGCACAACAGCCCAATCCCCAACTGATCATGGGGATGGCGCAGGACCAAGCAGCGTTTCATCTATTGTGAGCAGGGTCACCACGAGTCAGGGGCGAACTCGATGGCAGTAACAACAAACAAAAATATTACACCTCACAGCTTCATTGTCTTAAATCTTAAATATAAATAAAAACTCCAAGTGGTCACTTAGAATAACAGAAGTTTTGCTTCTTTATCTTGATGATCATTATTTATTTCTAATCTATTTAAAATGCAGGAAAATACACTGTCACAGGGATTGGAGACATGAATGATTCTGAACCTTACAAACTTTCAAAACAAACACATGTATCTGAATCCACGTGTGTCTGACAGGCTGTGGAGGCTGATGAATCCCAAGACTGGCAGGTAAGCTGCCAGCTCAAGTCCCAAGAACCAGAGGTCAGATGAACATGAGCGAGATGCAGGATTCGGGGTGAGCAAACAGCCCTCGAGCTTTGCCAGAAAGCCCACATATACTGGATGCAGGCCACACTCCCAAGGAAGATCCCTTTCAAATGACTGGCTGCTCATAGCAGATCTCATCATGGAAGTGACTGCATTATAAAATATCCATTATGGAGGTGATTACATCATTACATAGCTGCCAAACTACATCAAAACCGCTAAACCACTAAGAATCGTGGCCCAGCCAAGTTGACACACAGCCTTAACCATGACACCACCCTCTTTTTGCCTGTACCAAGATCACCCCATCCTTGGTACACCACCGCCTGTTATTCTCAGTAGAGAGAGTTTTCCAAGCCTGGCTCAAAGGGAAAGAATGCACATCCTGGCATTTACCTCCAGGCTCCCTGGAATTGACTGAATACACTTCTAACAGGCCCTGGTTATGCAGGAAGCCATCTGCTGTGAATTGTAGCCATATTATGTCCAGAAGAATAAATTCCAGCAGAATGCCCTCTGTCATGGATTGAATTATGTCCCCCCAAAAATATGTGTCAAGTTGGTTAGGCCATGATTCCCAGTATTGTTGGTTGTCCTCCATTTCATGATTGTAATTTTATGCTAAAGAGGATTAGGGTGAGAACGTAACATCCTTACTAAGGTGACATACCTGATCAAATGTAAAGGGAGTTTCCTTAGGGTGTGGCCTGCACCACCTTTTATCTTACAAGAGATAAAAGGAAAGGGAAGCCAG